GTGGCTAACCACTTGATCGCTAACTGGAAAGTCAGTGGTTTGAATCCACCATCCCCTTGCCACTCCTAGAAGTAAGAATCCAGTCGTGGGCTCCTGTAGAGACACCAGCCTGGGATACCATGGGGTGGGGGGTGTGTGTGCGGGGGTTAGTTCTCTGTTGACTCAGGTCACTGGGAATGGGAGTCAACTCAGCAGGCCCATGACCACAACTTGTCATCGTTGATTGAAAGGGGAATTATGTATTTTAAATGAATATATATTTCTATCTTTGGGTCTAATACCAGAAAGGAGGTACGTGAGAGTACAGTTGTACTGGATGAAGGCAACGATCCCAGATAGTAACTCAAGTCCGGAGGAACAAATGATGAGATCAGAGAGTGCATTAGAAGGGTTCGGAACGTCTGTGCTCTGGGCAGCAGCCACTCAGACCTGTGTCTCACGCCTACAGGGAGCCTGCCCTTGCTGTGTCTGCACATGCCTCCTGTCCATCTGGCCAGAGCAGCACCTCTGGCCTTTTCTCCCTCGTCTGGCCCCCAGAGCCCCTCCCCACCCAAGGTCCGTCCCCTGGCCAAGCTGCTGCTATAGCAGCGGTTCTCAACCTGTGGGTCGTGACCTCTTTGGGGGTTGAACGACCCTTTCACAGAGGTTGCCTAAGACCATCAGAAAACACGTATTTCCGATGGTCTTGGGAACTGAGACCCCACTCCTCTATCCGTCTCCAGGCGGGTCCACCACATGCAGATATGCCCACATACAAGTACCCAGTACCCGGCATGAAGACTGTTACCCACGCTACACTATGCTTCAAGACAAAATTTCATTTATTTTTAAGTAGAAATAAATCTTTCACGATATATAATTATATCTTGTTTTTGTGATTCATCACAATGCTTTAATGATGTTCCATTTGTAACAATGAAAATACATCCTGCCTATCAGATATTTACATGACGATTCATAACAGTAGCAAAATGACAGTGATGAAGTAGCAATGAAAATAATTTCATGGTTGGGGGTCACCACCACAGGAGAAACTGTATGAAAAGGTCGCAGCTGGAGGAAGGTTGAGAACCACTGTGCTACAGAATAACAAACCTTGGTCTCAACCTACAAAGCTGTGTCCCCGTGCTCGGGCCCTGCCATCCAGCTTGTCTTTAAGTCATGCCTCTTGGGGTGGAGCAGTGGGGGAAAGGGCTCATGTCTCACTTTCCCTCTGGTGAGGCATTTTGTACAGACAAAAACAAAATCAATACATCTCCACAGGCCCTTGCGTGAATTGAAGGCTTTTGCAAGGAGAAAAAGAGACTGTGCTCGAACAATATATATTTTCTCTCCCTTCCTCCACTCCTTGAGACATAACATCATATATGATCACGAGTGCGACATGTTTGCTGGATGTATAAGATTATTTCTCTACCTGACTTGCATAGCTTATTCTTCAACCACCACGATGTTCTACCAACGACATTCAGAGGGGCAGGGAAGGTCTAAGTAAAGTTTTTGTACGTTACTGAAATTAAGCGGATTTCAATTTAATCTCCGTTAAATGTGGTTTTCCTGGTGACGTGTTCCTCACAGTGCTGACAGCACCATACAGGAGCGCTGCTTCCTCTTCCATCGTTGGACTCCCTTAGCAGAGCCTCTTGGGGGAAAGATGAGGCTTTCCCCTCTCAGAAACTCACAGGGGCAATGCTCCCCCTGTCCTGTGGGGCCACTGGGCATTGGCATCAACTGGATGGCAGTGAGAGACCAGAGCCTCCTTTGCCGGAACAAATAACTACGCTTGGGAACTCCATCTTGGTCATTTAGGCACCTACCCTCATGAGCAGAGGAGGCGTGGTGGCCTACTAGGTTATTGGGCTGCTAACTGTGAGATCAGCAGTTCAAACCCACCAGGTGCTCCGGGGAGAAAAATGAGGCTTTTCTGATGGTGCCCGGCTATCAAAAGATATAG